TTCAAGAAAATGACTCGCCTCTTCTGGATCTTCAGCATTCTTTTCGCTATTGCTTGCGCCAAGGTTTTCCATAAGTCATTTCGATTATTAAATTTTTTTTTTCAGAGCTTCGGTGAACTTCCTCAGGGGAGAGGATTTCTTTTCGGCAACGATGAACCACAACATACCGTAGTTATGCAGCCTCCTCCAGCACCAATTATGGCAGCTCCAGTAATGACAGGTCCAGCAGTCATGGCAGCTCCAGTGATGGCACCACGACCAGTGTATAGTACATACCCAGTTCAAACAGTTCAAACAGGAGGATTTCTTGGCAAGTAATCTGATAAGAGTTCTGTGAGAATTTAAGTTTTCTGCGCTCACAGAATTATGTGAATATATTGTCTGTCAAATAAATGTTCTTTCTCATCAATTTCTTTACTCAATCACAAAAAAACAAAAATACGATCAGATATTCGTGCAATGGTTCAAAGTTGTTTGGTTATGTCTATTTTAGAATATAAACGTGGTCAACAAAATAATTTATCAACCTGACATTGAACGTACATACAAGCTTGCTTGTGTTTTCTATTCCGGCATGATTTGAAACAAGTATGAATAACTCATAAAAAGAGAGCAATTATACATAAGAATAATTATGAAACGATAGATGAACGAGAGCGTAGTTGTTATCCGAAGTTGTCAAAAACAAATATGGCTTGAATAGAAAGAACTCAATATCTAAATTGAAAATGTAATAGTCTTGTTATAAGAGAAGGATGAGAAGAACGCAGCACCTCACTACAGCACAAGTTGTACTCTATGAACGAACAAAGGCTTGCTCTCTTTGATGTTAAAATATAAAAAATGATTTTATGTGAAGGAATCACATAGAAAGTGATAACAAAGGAACAATTCCATAATTACAAAACATATTTTTAAAAGTGTTATCATCCATTTATTGCTGTGAATAGTTGGGAAAATGATATAATGAAGAGGTAAACGTCAAGTTTACATGGTTAGCAACACAATTCAAATGAAGAGGTCACACAGAAGCTAAAATCTCTTTTTGTAAACAATTTTTTTAGTCCAAAAAATGGTTGTTTGGTTGTACATAAACATGCGAAATGAGACAAACAACTTTATTATTAATAAATAACTATAAAAATTAATGATAAACGACAAGTATTTAAGTGGATCATGAAGATGATACGTAGTGATTGCTATTGAACTGAGAATGAAGAGTATAATCATCTTATTGTTCGTTAATGCTCTTTTGATTTCAAAGGTTTGTTTTGTTTTCTTATCATTATCATTATGATCTTTCATTCATCTAAGGTTTCTGGTTATGATTACTCATCAGAATCAGCCGATATATCAGAAGAGGAATTGGAGCAAATCGGTGAAGAGATTATACAAGGTGAGTTTTGATTTACAACTCTATTGCTCATGATTTTAAGCTGAGATCATCGATAAGGCAATTGAAGAAGAGATGATAGAAGAAGCTGAAGCTAAGATTGGTGAAGCTCAGGCATACAGAGGTATAATCTGTTCGAAATGTTTTTCAATAGACACACTGTATTCCAGAGGAATTGGAACTCTTGGATGAATCATTTGGCAATAACGCAAATCCAGAAGTTATTGCTGTTAAAGAAGAAATATTAACAAGTTAATCATGCTCTAACTCAAAAATTCATTGTTGTTCCTCCAGATGAACTCGGAGCTTTGGAAGACGGTATCGATTTGGCTGTTCAAGCTATGCGTTCAGCTATCGAAGCCGATCTCATTCAACGTGCGGTTTTCAATATCATTTTCATTGTTTAAATACTGTTCAGGTGAAATTTCTGTGTTGGAAGCTGACAATAACTTCAGTGAAAATCCTTTCGTAGCGCAAGCACAAGCTAATGAGTTAGAAGGTTATTAGAACAGAATTATGAAAACAGAACAACAACATTGAACTTAGATGTGCTCAGACTCATGGAACTTGCCGCTCAACTCCAGTTTATGGCCAGCCAATATGATTCTGAAGCTAGTCTTTTGGATGGCACTGAAAATTTTTAAATTTTTATAAGATTTTCAAATTTCAGCCGAAGTAAAGAACCTGAAAGCTGAAACTGATATTGACCCAGCTGTTGATGTCGGTATACATGAAAGTAAGTGAAACAATTTTTTTTCTTCAAACAACCTGTTAAAGGAATTGACAATGATTTGGAGAACTCAGTCACTTTGACTGAGGAAGCTGTGAAAGTAGAAGCGGTAGCTGAAGAAAAAGAAAGTAAGTGTTATAGTTGATTGATTCAAAATATTTTGCGGCCTAGATCAATTGACAGCTTCAATGAACAGTGAGCAGTAAGGACACAGTGCCGGATTTATAAATAAGAATATGAATCTGCTCATTTCGTATTTGTATATAAAATATGATTTAAAATAAATAATTAGAAATTTAATTAGAATGCGGAGATGAGACAAAACACTTGCATGGGGGGGAGGTTAAAACCTTTTCGCATACGGAGATTAACTTTTATAGGTGATGAAGGTTGAAGGAGAGGAGGAACTGATAAGCTTCATTGATGGATGTCTTTAAAACAGATGGTCAATTTCATCAATTCAATTGTTGGTCCATGAGATTATGGTAATGGAAAACAGATTAGTGTGAAGCATGAATTACAAAACATATTTTTCTGTAAAAAGTTTGAAAAAAAAAGAATAAGTAAATGAGTGAGACAATGAGGTAATCCTTTAATTCCTTATTAGAATGTCGGAATACTATATGATATAGCTAAGTGATAAAGTAAATATATTATTTTCTTCTTATAAAAACAAAACAATAGAATTGTAAAAGATACATACATATGAACATTCTTGCAACTGAATAGTAATGATAAGATTTCAAATATAAAAGGTTCTTTCTGAGAGTTTCTTGGCGAGTCACCTGTCAAACGATGAGACGACATCATTCTCTTCTAATGCTTTCGGCCATGCTCGTCATGATTTCGGCCAAGGTATCTTAAGCATGTTTGTTTTTTCTTCTCTTATATCCATTATCTATATGTAGGCTATTCCTAAACAAGAGTCTGAAAATAGTAATGGCCGGCAGTTGAATTTGGGATTAAATCTAGGCTTGAACGCTGGCTTAAAGACTGGGTTAGGAGTGAACACAATGACTTATCCCTACACACAGCAGACAGTTCAATACGAAACAATGGAACAACCAATCAGCTATCAAACGATTGAAACACAACCAGGTATGCTAAATCATCCTCTCATCAAGAGTTTGTCAATCTATCAACTTTCAGATGTTATCGGGCCAGATTTCCTGCCTCCGAACCTAGGTAAGCTCTTCTATATGAAGGTTTATTTGACTATTTTCTATTTTTTGAAGGCTTTCCTGGAAACACCGTTCCTCTCAAAGATCAATACATGTGCTTCCCAGTGAGCTTCCTGACAGCCATGTTCCCATTCGGAGCTATGGGACAAGTTGCCGGTGGATCAAACCAAGCCGAATTGCAGCTTGGTTTAACATCAGCTCAGCTGCCTAACTTCATCAAAGAGGCGGTAGGAGCAGATTGTGATGATCAAGTTGTACCGGACGCTGGTGTGATTTACACTGATCCAGGAGCATACTCTACCGAATACTTAGTTCAACAACCCCAAATGTATTCAGTCACCACAACACAACAAAGTGGTGGCGGATTACTGAGCAGTATCTTCGGAAAAAAATAAACCAAAACTAAAGACAAGTAGCAGTCCATTCGATTCATGAGGAAAGATTAAGACTGATTGATAAAAGAAATTTCTCTTTTACAAGACTCGTACCTTCATTTGAATATATTTCTGTTCTGAAATTGTATCATATAATAAAGATTTCTAACTTGATTCCTCCAACTGTAATCGTTGAGCCTTGTATCGAAGTCAATGTAAGCTGTGACGTCGTTGTAAACTCTTCATCAAGTGTAGCTTGTTGTTTGTTGTTTTCATTCCATACATCTATTCTGATGTGATCGGTCGTTTTCTGTTTCATTCATTACATGATTACCCACTTATCCTCTTATTATGTAAATCAATATTGATTGATTAACATTATATTGAAATTCATTTTCACTAGTAAAAGAACTGAGTAGCGGTTGATCATTAGTAAATGGGTTGTTCTATTAGTCGTCGTGATGATCAATCGGAGGAAAAGAATCATGTTGAAGTTCAATATGTGAAGTTAACTATATTATTTTAAATATTTCAATGATTATTGTAACTTTCATGTATCTCAAGATGATCTCGTCTCCAGCGAACCGAATGAAGTATCATTACTATGTGATTCGAAGAGTATGATGAGCAGTATGATTAGTCGATCAGACAATGTAAGAGCAATCATGATCTATTAAGAATCATTTTGAACAATTTCAGCTTCAATCGCATTATTCTGAAGATAGCAATATGAGTAGTCGAAAAATGAATAAAAGTTTGTTTATTTAATCAGTTTCACTCATCATACCAACTACGGCATTCAAGAAATACAGAAGGCAATCGATACTGGGCATATCAATCTAAGGTACTTGCATTTTAAATAATTTATAAAATATAATAATGTAGAGACAATCCGGATAAGGAAATAATGAATGAAAGTTCCATGTATGATGCTTCTGATATGTCCATTATGGTCTAATATGGAAGGAGGATATTCATCTATCTTAGAATAAATAATAATTTATATTATATATCTATATATATTTATTCTATTTCTTTATATTATTCGGATATAACATATAGTTGAGGTTATTGAAGATTATGAGCAATCACCTCATCCAGGCCATGCCAGTATATTTTGTGTCCATTTGAATGCATGCGATTAACCTCAGTGAATGACAGTAAGAGTGAATACAAACAATGGTACTGGTAAGTATGCACTGTTGAAGAAAAAAAAGAGGAGAAGAAGAAGAATCTCTTCAAGAGACACAGAGAGATAGAGAGAGAGAGAGGGAGAAAGATTGAGCAAGAAAGAGAGAGAGAGGGAGAGAGAGAGAAAGAGATGATCTTTATGTAAAGTTTGTATATCAAGCAGTATTCTAATAGAGTTCGTTCTATTAATTAAAAGCTGACAGAAGGCAACAGACGGCTCACCAAAACGGCGAATGATTCAGAATCAAAAGGAATTGTGACAGTCAAGCTTGATTGACTTGATCGCATCTGAATCACATCATATGTCTATAAATAAAAGATTGTATAAAAGAAGAGTTATAAAAGCTCAACATCTGCAATTGTAAAATCTAAAAGCAAAAAAGGCGAAATGTGAGTTCAGGTCATGCATGGCTGTCTAAGGAGATGAAGGAGGGGAGGGTTAGGATTACTGTATAATTATTATAATTATTGAAGATTTTAGCGGATTCTCTGATGGAATTAAGGATACAAGTGGTGTCAATGACTATTCATTGAAAGATTGTCTTAAAGCTTTTTTCCGCTTTGCTTAGAATTCCTTTTAAGCATTAAGCATTACCGTAATTGCCGACAAAGAGCTTTTCATACAGCTTTTCCTCTTCATCTTGTTGAACATCTGTCCATAATTTTTAAATAATAACTAATTTTTCTTTATTTGTTTCACCGAATTAGAAAAAAAGAAAATCAAATTTACAATCTCTAATTATCGAACGAAAAGTTTTTTTTTATTTGAGAAAGACATTAGTAATCGGTCATCCAGGTTACATCGTCGGCACAAATGACCTGGGAAGGTATAAGGTTTCAGTTAGACGGCTTTTTTATAATTTCTCTTTTGTAGTATCATCATTATATTTTGAATTTAGGTAGGAGTTGATGTTTCATCAATTGCTTTGACAACCCTTTTTATGTTATTCTTACGTGTTCCATATGTGAGCATGTGCCATGACAGCTACGTGATGTAATCTAAGTATTAAGTAATCGGTTGTTGAGTTCAGGTCATATGGAGCTCAAACATACATACATATATGGCTGCCTGAGTGACTGACACAAATCAAACTAAAAAAGGCATAAAGAGAGAGCATAAGCTCTTATTGATAGAGAGAGAGAGAGCAGACCAAAAGAAGAAAGAGAAAGAATAAGAGAAAGAAGACACAAAAAAGATCTGAGGTCCCGAAGCTGGTCACCTGTTGCCTAATGACCGCAGTTGACCCCAAAGAAAGAGCACATAGATGACAAGCGGCTTGGGTCGCAGGAGGAAATGTGAGGGCGTGGTCCAACAATGTGTGAGTGGGGTCACCAACGGTCATTCCGTCATATAGCACAATTGCTCGTCAACCATACAGACTTTTTTGTCTTCTGAATCTGTTCTCGGGACAATGTTTTACTTTTCCCTTACTTTCCATCGTATCTCAGAACTCCAAATCATACCTATCGCATGTATAATCAGAAGCTTTTGTGCTTCATCTTGCGCTACCGAACTATTGTATATTTCTCACTCTTTCTTACCGCACATACCCAGTTCATAGGTTTTTCATTCAGAGATGGATCTTCATAACGCTTTAGCTGCTCTTATAAGACCTGTTGCTCTGCCTGGGCTACAATCAGCTTCTGTTCTCCCTTTTACGTCATCTTTACTTGCTTTAAATCATCTTGATCAGCACATGCTGCCATTGGCAACTGTTCCACCTGTGGATACGGCTTTAACCCCTAAAAAGGTAAAATTATCTTTCTGTTTCGTGCAATATTGTATATTCAGGCTCGTTTGGATGACAGTCCTCTGAGTAGTCATAGCAGCACAACAGTTTCTTCTACACAGGTAAGCATGAAGAGCTGTACTGGCATGATTTTGGAATTTCAGATGTCCAGTCCGTCATCGACTTCTCCCCGAAGGAAAATCCCTCAACCGATTCCGAATGAAAAAAAGGTAACTGAAGTTTACCTTTATAAAACTAAGAAAAAACCTTTATTACTACATCTGATATTTTATCAGAGGATGAACAGTTGGCTCTTCGTTACGATATGACAGAACTAACCATAGTTTTGAGAAGTTCTTTCTTGTCACATTTAATATTCGTATTGTGTGATAGAAGAAGAGAGGACAAGAATGAGAGAGAGAGGGAGAGAGAGATATCTCGAGAGAGGAGAAGAAACTCATCTCAAAGACACGTAAAAGAATCAGATGAGATCCAGACAAGGCTGAGCTTCAGCAGTTGTCTCTTCTAAACAGACGTGAATAAACCATCGCGTAATTGGAGAAGACGATAGTTACCTCAACACAATGGCTTCTGTCAGACTGTTGGTACTGTGAGTGTAATATATAATAATAAATAATAAATAGTAGTAGAATATTGAAAATAAAATGAAAAAATATAAAAGAAAATAAATTTGATGATGATTACAGGATGATGCGTACTATGAGAGACGACGAAAGAACAATGATGCAGCAAAGCGTTCACGAGATGCTCGACGGTATAAGGAAGATCAAACAGCTCGTCGGGCTCAACAATTAGAACAAGAAAATGCTCAATTACGTGGACAGGTATGTTATAACCATATACACATATATATATAATCAATATTTATAGTTAGCCTTATTAAAATCAGAATTAACAAACATTCAATTACTCATGTTATCAGCGCGAACAAATAATATGCCAAATCCATTATCATCCTTATCTCCACAACTTTTACTCAAAAAAGAAGAGCCATCAAGTACGGAACAGATTGAAGTATGAACATCAGACAGTTAGCTTCCAAATGATACTTCTTCGAAATTCTTTTTTTCATATTATAACTTAATTAACAATGCGAGTCCATTAACAGCTTTAGTCATGTGTATATAGATGCTTTTCATTGTACTGTTCCCGTTTCATTATTGAATCACAACGGGTCGAATGTTTTCTTTATTATAAAACTCAATAAATACTTCTTATTATCATATAGTAAAGGAATGACTAAATGATCGCAGTAGAAAACAACCGTCTGACGTGTACAGGTTGCAGAAGAATGGTCTTCATGTCAATCTGTGCACTGATTGTCTTCATTCTTGATCAACCGCTCTATGACTCTTTAGAGTTGTAAATGAAAACAACTCAGATGATTAACCTCTATGAATCAATTTCAGTTCGAACTTGTTTTATAATTTATTAATGTTAAGATGAAGTTAGTTATAAACAATATGGTTGAACATAGCATGGGATTCATGATTATAGGTAGATTCTATCTATCAGTATGCTGTTCCACCGCGACTGCGTGTGCCTGTGGATGAAGCGTATGTCTCATCTTCATCTGGATATTCATCTTCTCCGATTTCTTCGTAGTCTTTTTCTAAGGCTGCCATATCCTCTCTAGCTTCACTGAATTCGCCTTCTTCCATTCCTTCACCTACATACCAATGAACGAACGCTCGCTTGGAATACATTAGATCGAATTTATGATCTAAACGTGCCCATGCTTCAGCAATGGCTGTTGTATTGCTTAATCATCAGATTACCAACCAAAAAAAGAATAAATAATAGAAACCTTATCATGCAGACTGATCGTGTTTGTTTGCCAAGATCTCCACCTGGAACAACAGTGGAAGGCTGGTAATTAATTCCAACTTTGAAGCCTGTCGGACACCTACAAAATGAAAACAACAATTATATACGGAAATGGTTACATGTACAAACCATTCCACAAACTGAACAGTTCGTTTAGTTTTGACTGCAGAAATTGCAGAATTGATATCTTTTGGAACAACATCACCACGGTATAGAAGACATACGGCCTTCAAGCACTCAATCAATGTTGAATTGTTTTGATATTCTGCTCACCATATACTTGCCTCGACGTGGATCACATTTAACCATCTGATATCCAGGCTCGAAACAAGCACTTGTTATATCGGCAACAGTGTTCTGTTCATGATAAGCTCTTTCAGCTGACACCAAGGGGGCATATGTGACTAATGGGAAGTGAATTCGAGGATATGGTACCTTGAGAAAGAATTATCTTTAAAATAATGTGCGACATTCAATTTCACCAAGTTGGTTTGAAATTCTGTTAAGTCCACGTTCAAAGCTCCGTCAAAACGTAGAGATGCCGTTATTGAAGAAACAATCTGAGCTATAAGGCGGTTCAGATTGGTATAGGTAGGCCTTTAATGGGACATATTGAATCCTGTTATCACAAAGCTCAAAACCTAGCCAAATCCAGGTTTCTTCTACAGATATCATATATAGCTTCGTTATCGACCATGAATGTGCAATCGGAATGTTCCAAAGTAGTATGAGTCATCAAAATTGAGTTGTAAGGTTCAACCATAGAAGTGGAAACCTATTTCCATACATATTCTACTTCGTTAAACATTTAGTGCTTTACCTGTGGAGCCGGATAAATGGCAAACTCTAATTTTGGTTTTTTTCCATATTCAGTTGAAAGGCGTTCCATCAAAAGCGATAGAAATCCTGAGCCCGTGCCTCCACCAAAAGAATGAAAAACCATAAATCCCTGAAGACCATTGCAGTTTTCAGTCAAACGCTTGATTCTATCCATCACAACCTAAGCTTTGATATTCTTATTCATTTAGTAACAAAACTGATTACATCAATCATTTCTCTGCCAATCGTATAACGCCCTCGAGCATAACAATTCGCAGCATCTTCTTTGCCTGAGAGAAGTTGCTCCGGATGAAAGAGTGAGCGATAAGTCCCTGTGCGTACCTCATCTACAAATAATTCATTCTTATATGTTTAAATATATTATTTTTTTGTTTCTTACCAACAACAGTTGGCTCTAAATCAACAAACAAGCATCGTGGAACATGCTTTCCACCAATTGTCTCAGAAAAAAAAGTGTTGAAAGCATCAATATCATCTCCAGGTGACGGATCATCAATTTTCGTGCCATCTTTAATTTATATCATAAATAACTTATTTCTTTCCTATTGTAATCATTAATGAACCTGGTTGAATAGCATGCTCTAAGCAGTATAGCTCCCAACAGGCATTTCCTATTTGAACGCCAGCTTGACCGACATGAATTGAAATGACTTCACGCTAGAAAAAGAAAAATCTTCTTGTACTTTCATAGATAGAAGGGAAAATAGCAATTTTTCAAAAAAATTTCCGAAATTTTAAAAATGTTTTCACAAAACACTAGTTGAAAGCTCTCAAGCAACATCTTAGATCATGTTGTTGAGAATATGAAATAGAGATGCCATCATACGAATAAACAATTACAAAACTTACATTTGTCCGATAACTTGTCATTTCTTCTATAAAATATTTAAAACGTTAAAGTTTTAAAAAGTATAGATGAAAGCACTTGCTACTAGTATGAAGCGAAAGAAGAAGATTCACAATCGACATTAACGTCCTTCTATGCTACTTAGCAACGACGAAATAAAAAGATTTTGTATGACTTTTGCCATGAAACAATATGTTCAAAGTCAAAGTGAAATGAATTATTTGTATAAATACTAATATTTGATTTCTATACAATGCTTTACAAGGTCATCATTTCATTTCAACCCCCCCCCTCTCTCTTCCTTCTTCCCCATCCATGTGCCATCATATTCAAATTTGCCTTTCATTCATTTATATTCCATATATTCATATACAGTAATTATGTTTTCAAAAAAATATATTCCAATTCTCTATGCAAATGATGAAAATTCCATTTTCAACCTCACAACATTGCAAATCGGTTGTTCTGATAGGAACATGAGATTCACGTGCTTGCTAGTCTACTGTTGCATCTCACGTCAGACGGTTGTTGTTATCCACACTCAAGAATTTATTTTCTTTCGGCTGTTTCTTCAAATCCTATGACTTCAACTCAAAAATAGCTAAGACTATACTCCTTTTTCCCTTTCAGAAAATGGAAAAGTTCTCTCCGTTTAACCTTCCTAAAAGCTTCGAACGGAATTGAGCTTGATTGAACTTGGACGTTAAAGCTGAGTTTATAGCAACAGTTTGTGCCAATTTCATTTATTACGAGATGAAAAAGAAAGAAAATTTCAATTTCTTTCTTTCACTTTTCTCGTCTCTCTCTCTCTCTCTCCCTCACTTTCTATCTCTCTCTCTCTCTCAATTTCAATCTCCTTTAAGGGTGAAAAAAGAAAAAGAGAGAGAGAGAGAGAGAGAGAGAGAGTGAGATATTGGAGATGAGAATGACCAACGTGTGTGAAAAGAATGTTTTGACTTGTTGTAATTTAACGTGTAAATTCCACTTGTGTTCTTCAGTTGTGTCAACGGAATGTCCATTTTACAATAAAATTCATTTAATTCTCTAACACTCTCTCTATAATTTAATAATGAAGATGAATCTATTGTTATGCACAGACAGCTGTATCGATTTGAGTTAGAAGAGATAGGAAAAGCTGAAATAGACATCTAGACAACTAGACAAACTGACTATTCTCTTGCGTTAGGGATCCGCTTTCTCTCATTTTGCCTTTGTCGTTAGTCTATCTCTCTATTTCTATTCTCTATCCTTGTAACTCTCTCTTCATTTCTCTCTCTTCTTGTCTCTCTCTCTCTATTTTATTGTCTTTCTCTTTTCCACACATATACACATCATTCTACCAAGAGCAACACACATCTCTTAGCCAATTGCCTCCGGCGTTTTGTGCCAATAAATCGAGTCAATTTCTTTTCTTTTTTACTTTTTAACAGTTCCTCTCATTTACTTATATCATATAGTTAAGTAGATTATAATATTTATATACATATATCTCATTCTATTATATTGTTTATGTGTTAAAGCATTTATTCATTTCAACATATATCTTTAAGCTTCATCAACTTTCATTGACGTCAATACCAGCTGACGTTAAAATCTGAATAAAAATGTATTGAAAATCTCATATAATCAGCATAGATAACTAACCATCATACATATAATCTCATACTATCTATCTATTTATAGTATATATAATATACTAAATATATCTTCCAGAATATGGGAAATAGTGGAAGTTCATTATCAGATTTAAATTTATTTTCCAAAGGCGGTGTATTTACCCGTGAGCAATTAGATGAATATCAGGTATTATCATTATCAAATGATTTTAGAATTTCCTTAAATTATGCTAATTATAGGATTGTACGTTTTTTACACGAAAAGATATTATTCGATTATATAAACGATTTTATGCATTAAATCCTCAAAAAGTGCCAACGAATATGCAAGGAAACAGACCGTCAATTGTCTCCCTGACGTTCGAGGAGATCGAGAAGATGCCGGAACTGCGTGTAAGTATATCTGACTTCTTGGCTTCAAATAATGATATTCTATAATTAATGATTTTATAATCATTATATCCTTATGTAGATGTAGATGTAGATCATCTGATGATTTCTTTCATTTTATGCAAATTTTTTTTCATTTTCAGGAAAATCCATTCAGACGACGCATCTGTGAAGTATTCTCTGAAGATGGAAGAGGAAATTTAACTTTTGATGATTTTCTTGACATGTTTTCCGTATTTTCCGAAATGGCTCCATTACAGCTGAAGCTTAAATATGCTTTTCGCATATATGGTATACTATACTATAATATAATTAATTATATTATGCTAATTATAGATTTTGATGGTGATGATCATTTGGGACATGATGACTTATCAAAAATGATTCGAAGTTTGACACGAGATGAGTTAACAGATGAAGAAGTAGAATTCATTATTGAAAGAGTAAGTAACAATTATACATATATAGTTAATATACATATATATATATAGATAATAGAAGAAGCTGATTTGGATGGTGATGATCGAATCAATTATGCAGAGTTTGAGCATGTTGTTAGTCGATCACCAGATTTCATTCGAACATTTCATATCCGAATTTAATGAAAACAACAAACAAACAAATACAAATATGTTTTTATCAATGAAAATGAGTCTCAAAACGAATGTCTGTTCATAAAATCATAACTGACTGTGATCAATTTTGTTTTTTTTTTTAAATTTTTTTGTTTAACAGTTTGTGTGTAATGCCTAAGCTTAGCCCCATCTTGCCTTATACTGCTCCGGTGCTTTTCATTTTACAAAAATTTCTTTTTTTTCTTTCTTTTTTTCTTTTTGTATAAGGGTTTTATAATTAAAGATATTATGAAATATTTGTTTTTGTTAATTTAAATGTTTAAATGATTAGGTTAAAAGCTACCGGTTGGTTGCTTCGTGATTGCCTGATATACTCCTAATGCTTGTGTTACCATTGATGCTGGATCACTCAGATTCGCTGGTAGTATTACGGTATTTCCTTTTTGAGCAAGCATTGAGAATGCTTCCACGTACTTTTCGGCGATTGTTAGCCCGGCTGCCTTTCCGTCCTATTAAATATATTTAATTAAGTTTTCGTTAATGATTGAAGTATGTATACATCTTTGCGTAATGCTGCTCCTATACGTTCAATAGCGGCTGCTCTAGCTTCTGCATTAATTCGCAGAGCTTCAGCTTCTCCTTTTGCGATATTAATCTTAATTAAATGTCTTTTTAGATAGATTTAGACTTCTCATCATACTTGTTCTGCTTCACGTGCTTCAGATGCAAGAATTTTTGATCTTTTCTCTCCTTCAGCCAAATTTATGGAGGCAGCTCTGAACATTTTTTTTTCTTCGGTTGATGAAAGATATATACAAACAACCAACCGTTTTCCTTCCGAGTCCAGAACAGCTGCTCTTTTCTTTCGCTCAGCTTCAACCTATAAAATTTGCATAAACGACTGTCGTTAGACGTGCGTGAGAATTTCACGTAGTTTTCAATTGTATCTTCATTGAACGCTGTGAATCGGTTGTTAAGAGTAATGTTCTCACCTGCATTTGCATAGCTTCCTGGATTTTATCTGGCATGTGCATGTCACCTGAAATGAACATGAAGCTTCATTTCAAGTAAGTTTCTTACGAATTTCATATCTAAGACACATAATTCCCCATGGCTCAGCAGCTTTATTGATAGCAGTTACAATATGATAATTGAGCTGCTCACGCTCTTTGAAGACAGTGTCCAAAACAATTTTTCCAACCTTAATATGAATTATGATGTTGATGAAATTCATTTTGATTAATGTACTTCAGATCTCATCGTTGTCTGGGCCAGTTGACTAACAGCAAATTCCGGATCATCAACGCCATATGATGCTTTGAATGGGTCAACAACTTTCAGATACAGCACACCATCCAACTGGACTTGCACATTATCCAATGTAATGGCACCTTGTTTTGGAATTTCAATGGCTTCTTCCTTCAAGCTCTGCACGTATCGTATTTCATCTATGCATGGAATCAGGAAATTCAAGCCCTTCAATGAGTTACGAAGTAAGAAAAAACTTCAAAGCAATCTCACCGGCTCCAGAATTTTATGAAAACGACCCATGCGTTCAATGACCCATGCCTGCTGACTTGGCACAAAGTTAATAATGGTATTAGTAGCTGAACGTCTGGTCATTCTTGAACAAAAAATTAAACATCATGATAAAGCATGTTAAGGATGACAGTAAGAAGCACAAACGGTGAAAGAAACTTCAAGCTGGCCACATTTGACATATAATTGAATGAGAATTTATTAGGCAAAGCGACTGGTTACCTTGGTAACAACAAGCAGAATAATCTCACTCTTTCTTTTTTTTAATATTTTCTTGTTTGAGTCTCAGAGCGATCTGCTATGTATGTATATGCAAAGGAATGCTGACGACTATTCGCTTTCAAACACCGGAAAGTGATGGAGAGCATGAGGTTGAACATGAATATTGGAAAACAAAGGATAGCTGGCTAGCTCGTTGTCTGAGTAATCTGTGGTTTGAAGTATCAATTTGTAGAATTATGGAGAAGATATTGATCAAAACAGTTGACGAAAAAATGAAAAACCGGTAATTGAAATAGAAAAACTGGCATTTGATAGCAATTTGCGTTATTTGGCAGATAGTTTCAAGTGAATTAGTCATCTGAGTTGAACCTACATTTCAAGTTGAAATTGAAAAGAAATGAAAGAATGGCAAGAGCAAAGAATAAAACACAAGCAACCCATTGTCCAATAGGATGTTCTGAGCGTCCTCTTTATGATACTGGCTGAGGCTAGGTCATGGTTCTCTGCAGATGTTGCCTCTCTATGACTTACTGCGTTTAATTATAACGCAATATGATTTGGCATGATGGTTGAGATTGAGAGTATCTTCTTCGAAAGCATTTGAAAAAAAGGAAAAGCAATGAGTTGTTTTCAAAATTGAATTGACTAAGTAAGGCAAGGCGGTTGGTATTGAATGTAAGCAGTTGCGGTGTCCTTGGTAATCTGATAAAATCTTAGATGTTCTTCAAAATCTGAGTTACTATACTAATTCTATACATGTCTTTCATATATCATTGAAATTTTGAACTCTCAACACAATTCAATACTTTGAGGTGAAGTTGATGGAATCATTCAACAATGTGTCCCGGTAATTCTGTACTCCGGTCGAAGGACTGCTAAGGTTCTGGTGCTCCGTTGAGCAAATCACTGAAATAGTTGTCTGAAGTCTCTTCATATCTCATTATCTTTCAGATATCTGTGCAGCTAGACCGGTTGTAATATTTGTTTAAAGCTGAGCCTCCACTAGTCAGATCCTTCTCAGATCCTCCGCCATTCTCTAGTGGAACGACGATGTCTTCAATTAGTTTCAAAATATTATATATATGTGTATGCATATAATATATAATTCCATATAATTAACATATTATCCTTTACTATATATCATCTAGATTAATATATTTCAGAAGTTATGCCGAAGAAACAGAAGAAACAGCAGGCAATTGAGTTGCCAACACCGACAGCAGATGACATCTCGTCCATTCATTCACGCGTTCGGGTAATTTATGAATATTTTTTTGGAATTTTTAATAATTGATATGATATATACATATATAATTGATTAATCATATGGTTGAATATGTAATAAGCTTTCTAATTGATATTTCTGAAGATCTTTTTCTCAAAGATAAACAGAACATCCACTTGAAGGCTGTATGTGTGTCTGTTCACTTTCCAAAATTCATTTTTTTCAATTTTGAAATGAAAAAATTAAAATTAATTATACAGAATTGATGTTAAATATAAGATATTTAAGTTCTTCGATGAACCATTCGCCCATCACGTTAACAATCCCCGAGTTGAAGACTTCTGCTCTCACTGTATGCGGGCACCGGAGCCTAATGAGAAACTGAAGAAATGTGCTGCGTAAGTTTTCTTTTGATAATCATATAATCAAACGTTAGATGCCATTTATAGTTGTCAATTCGCCCAATATTGTAAGAAAGAATGTCAAGCAGAAGCTTGGATGATGCACAAGCATGAATGTCGACGTCTGAAAAACGTATGTTTACATGAATAAAATGAAAAATAAAAGAAGAATGTTTCAAGGTATTTCCAAACTTGCCATTAACAGAAGTGTTGTTCTTATCCAAAATAATCGATCGAGTTGTTTTCTTGAAAGAAGTTGGAGATAAGTTCAATTGGGAAAGAGATAGAAAATACGCGGACCTGATGGATCACAAAGAGGATATTCTGTAGGATTTTGTATTTTCATTTTTCAAATCACCAAAACGATATTTCGCAGGGCTGACAAGGAAAAAATGGAACATTTTGAGAAAATTTATACAAAAATGACAAATTTCCGAAAAGAAGAGATGGTTGACAGAGTAAGTGAATGTCTTTCAACTGCATACAATCTCTCTCTTATAGGAACTCATGTTTGAGGTATTCTGTAAGGCAACAATCAATTCGCATAGTATACACACTAATGCTGGTACAGAAGTTGGAATGGCATTAGATTTAGGTTGGTATATTTATATTTTTCACAAATCAAATGAAAGTTTAAAAACTTTTTTCACATTCTCACATTATACAAATGCTAGAGTGATTTCATTTGCAATTTTTTTCTCTACAGGAGTTTCCATCTACAATCATTCATGTCGTCCTACATGTTCCATGGTGTTTGATGGCTTCAGGTATGACAAACGTCATTCAAAAAAACAAAAAAGAATATTTTGCTTCTATTTGTTTACACGTTTCATTATTTTTCTTTTGTTCAGAATCTGTCTTCGGCCATTAGTCCCCGGAATTGATGCGTCAAATCCTGAGCAAGCTTTCATATCGTACATTGATGTTGGTCGCAGTAAATATACGCGTCGGAAAGATTTAAAGGTTTCTTTTATACAAAATCATAATATTATAATAAAAATCCTTATCTGAAGACTCGCTGGTATTTCCATTGTGAATGTACAAGATGTACAGATCCAGAAGATGATACATTGACTTCTATCAAATGCACATCCAAAGATTGTGATGCTCCATTGGTATTGAGAATAGCTATAGTGATTGGCTAACAATCATCATTTCAGATTACTGGAGAGGAATCAGAGCCCATTGCCATAAAGTGTGGTGCATGTGGCAAGATAACGGAAAAGGATTATGTGAAATCAGCACAAGAGTTAATGCGATCATTACCAGCCAGCTTTGATCCTGAATGTCCCCCCGACACGGTATGTTTCACTCAATTTCGTTCTCTTCTTTTGTTTTTTTTTCCTTTTTTTTGGGTGAGAAAGTAATTGATGGCTCGAATTATTTTTTGTTGAATTTGTAATTAATTTTCACGTATTCAACAAATTTTTTTTAAACTTTCAGATTAAAGATCTTCTGGCACGTGCAGAGCTTGTCTTACATCCTAGTAATGTCTATGTGGCTCGTTTAAGAACAGCTCTCTTCCATGTAACTGGTCAACTTACATTGGCAAACCTAAACCAAATGCATAAACAAGTCTATGAAAACTATAAGCTGTAAGATGAATTTCCTTTTTTCTCTCATCATAGACAATCCGCTTTAGATGTTTCCCCAAAGCTGATCGCCACATGGGATATCAGCTCATCCACATTGTCAAGACTCTAATAGAACAAGGAAAACGTCAAGAAGTTCGTCAACTGTTTTCAAAAATTTTGAAATTTTCATTTTGCGATTTCAGGCGATGCCATATGCTTATGATGCCATGAACATCTTCGAAGTATGTTTCGGTCTAGATCATCCATACTATCTCCAGACACTCTGCTTATGGACATTCTTGGAGAAGGACGTAATATGATGTCTTTGGACAAGCCACTAATCCTATTACTCTGTTCAGATTCCTAAAACTGATGAAGAACTGATCAACTTAACGCATTTCTCTGATAATCGTCCAGTTGACATTGTGCAACTGTTAGACAGAGCTAATCTGCTTCCAAATATGGAGAAACTTTCAATTGCTGGGCAATAAGAGTCAATCACACCAATACCACCAACATCATCATCAGCATCGTGAATAAGGATGAAGTAGAAGAAGTGATTACATTAACGGTTTCTGAGTGATTCTTTCATTATTTTTTTTTGACTTTCCCTTCAACCTCTCTTTATTTTCCTTTTTTTTGTTTCGTTTTTTTATTTTCTTTTTTCGAATTAATTATGAGAAGCAACTAAGCTTAAATAGAGTATGATCCCCTCTTTGTTACAGATAATTCGTCTTTTGTCACAATGTATAAGATATAAAAATAAAAATTTTTCATTCAAGTAAATAAATTATACGGTAAGTCTGATATGAAAATGAAAAAAAAGTTTTCTCTTTCTCTTCATGAACTATCGAAGGTAGGATTTCTCTTTCTCTCTCTCTCTCACTCTCTCTCTCTCTCTCTCTCTCTCTCTCTCTCTCTCTCTCTCTCTCTCTCTCTCTCTCTCTCTTTCATTTACTTTCTATTC